CAGACAAATACCACTTTGTACCTAGGTTGACCCTACAGATCCTTATGAAAGTCATTGTTGAGCAACAACAAGGAATCTGGTTCTAAAACATTCCTTTCCTAAGCTAAATACAGTAGAAATATATCTCTGTTTTGATAGCAATTGGTACCCAGTATGATGTAGTGGAGAGAGAGTGATGGACTAGGACATGGGGAAACCACTCCTTGAATATCTCACTTACCCAGAAAACCCTGTTAGGGCCATCATCAGTTGGTTCCAACTTGATGGAACACAACTAACTTTGGTAACAATACAGACGGAAGAGGCGAAGTCAGGTGCTAGAAACTTCATCATCATCAAATGACAATAAAAGGACATGAAGGAACAAGGGAGGCTCCCATAATGCATAACTGGGTAATGCATAACATAATGCAGCAGCCATTTGGTGGTTGGCAGTCCACAAACTGTTGGAGTGTGTTTTGCTGATTGGTCAAAAGTGCTGGGGAAAACTCTGTATCAACTAAGGGATGATATCATATGAAGGAAAGGAAGGGGGAAAATATGCAGGTACACACAAGTACATTTTCTGGTGACCAATGTGTTGAAATTTGACTTCTTCAGAGACACTCGTAGATGCTGTTTGAGTCTGAAGACTGGTAACTTGATTAATATTTAACTGCAGGAAACACCAACTGTGCAGCCCTTGCAATCTGATGAGAGGCTGATTGTGGACCGGACTGCGTATTGGATCATTGTGGCAGCTCCTGCAGTGTGCAAATACAGGATATTCATCCAGGATTTCAACATGTGTTTCTTTGATGAGCACAAAACCACAAATGGGAATGACCAATAATAACAGAGGTAAGAAGATATTTGACGGCCAGGAATCTGTTGCCTGCAATGTGCCCTCTGAGTTTCTTCCCAAACTTCAGTTCAGCCCCAGAGCCATTCTTGTGTTCATCCTTTTTGCATCAGGAGTTGCCAGTGTTCATATTGCAAAGCCAAACAATTTCTCAGATGTTGAATAGCTCTTGAGCTTGATGTCATTTCTACTAAAGGGAAGAGTGTCATTGGCTCCTTTGAAACACGCAGATTTTACTTTCACTCTGATGGAAGGAACCATTCATGACACAGACCTTTGGAACTGGAGAGCATTAATATGTGGATAAATACTGTACACTGTTTCCCTGAAAATAAGACATAACCTGAAAATAAACCTTAGTATGATTTTTCAGGATGCTCACAATATAAGCCCTACCCCCAAAATAAGCCCCAGTTAAGTGAAACCTTGTTTTCCGACATTGTACAGCAACCAGAAGAAGATGGCATGACTGTATTTGAATAAATGCAGATTGTTGTACATGAAAAAATAAAGCATCCCCTGAAAATAAGTCCTAATGTGTTTTTGGAGTAAAAATTAACATAAGCCCCTGTCTTATTTTCGGGGAAACATGGTAGCTTTATTATACAACATCACTTGCTAATAGTGACACACATGCCACCATGGCTGTGAAGTTCTTCAGTGTTATACACAGGTCTGCGGGCACTAATGTTCAGGCCCAAGTTGCCTCTTATGTTCAGGTCTATCTGTGGTCCCAATTTTCTACCTGGAATCAAGGAGCTTTGGACTGTGGTTCAACCTTTCATGGCCAAAGACTGATGTGTGTCTTCAGTCTGCACAAATGTTTACTAGTCTGATGTTTACTAGTCTGCGTAACCCATTGCAACAGAAGTGTGCCAGATGGCTATTCATGCCAGGATATGTGTGCCTATACACCTGTCAGAATCAAGAATAAGCCAAGATTCAGATCTGTTTTCCTGTTGATGTATAATGTCTGTCTGATAGTGTGGAGTCATTCAGGATACCTGGAAACTAGGGACTTTTTTTGTTACCATGAATGAAAGATTACAATCACCACATGAAAGAGGCTTTACACTTATTTTCATGTTCTTTTGTTGATTCCTAAAAGAGATTCCCTTAAAGATAAATGCTTTGTGTTAGTGAAAGAGAGGGACACAAAAGTGTCAGATGTCGTGCTTCACTTATTTGTCTGCCCTTTCTATCAAAACGTCTCGGAAATTTCCCATCAAATATAATTGTCAGCAGCCAATCAGAATGTCTTGGGAGGTGGGGAAGCAGGAATTTTGAATCTCTAAAAGGGTGTGGCATAGTTGGAACCCAGTAGGCATGCTTTCTTTGGAGCCTCCTCTGCTACCACTGGCTGGACTGGGGTCTCGTTCCACCCCTCAGTTCTTTCCATGCATGCTGCTGAAACAGCTGGTGGAAATCAACATGCGAGCCCTGTTTTCTCCTGCTTCCCATCTCTTGCCTTGCACCTCCTTGGCATGCTCACTCACCTGTGATCATCTGAGTCCTAACATGGTATGGAAATAAGAAGTGAGGCAGTGCTTGGCAGAAGAGGGGACCATGAGCAACCTTAAAAAAAACCAAATGAGCAGAAGCCCAGCTAAGCCACACCTGCAGGAGGAAGAGGTGCTTGCCTGAGAAGCAGTGGCCGAACGGAGATGGCAGTGCTTTGGGGCTTCTCCTTGTAAGTGTGAGTGTGGTGTGCCCTGATTTCACCAGAGTATACCTGCCAAAAGGTATTGGGGATAAGAAGTTCCAAGCAGGGCTGGCTTGGAAAAACAATCATTTCTTGGACTACCCCTTCCCTCACATGGATTGCAGGTTGACTCCATCCACTTTTGAGGCTGTAGATATTGTTTTTATGGGTTCTTTAGGCTTTTTTTTTTTGGGATGTTGTTAGTTGTACTGTTACCTGATTTTGTAGTACAGGTCAATTCTCTGTTGGCTTGCCACTGCTTTTTTTTTTGATAGTTTTTCCTGCTTCTTTAGGTTTTTTTTTAACTAGTGCCAGAAAATACAAATGGAGAAAAATGAAACAACCTATAAGAGGCAGTCCATGCATGAAAAACATGAAAACAGAAGAGGCACATCCCTCCCTTCAAAGGAACCTGACATCGAATAAAATACTCCCAGCAGGTACTCACAAAATGTGTTGGACTACCTGTCATAATGTTCAGATACATGGCTACTGGTCATGCTGGATGGTGACGGTTGTAATCCAACCTATGTGGAAAGTGCAAGGAAGGGGAAGGCTGACTTAGAGATGAGACTCCACCTGAATGAAGGCTCTAGGCACACCTGTTTTAGGTTTTGTGTCACCCTTGTCATGCCTTCTTGTTCCCCTTCACACCAAAGAGAGATTTCCAAACTATGGAGCTCAGGCTCAGGGTTGGAACCAGGAAGTAGTTTAACCACTTTGATTAAGTTAGATTTCCCCCCTGATCTGAGATGTTCAGCAATTTTTGCTGGATAATAAAAGTATGGATGAGAAAGAAATAATCTGCGTTTTTTTCTCCTTTTGATTGAAGTATGAATCCACATGCTTCTCGTCATTGCATCTAATGCTAATTATCAGTTCTGCCAATAATAGTGTGCCATTCATCATGAAAGCTAGAAACTGCCTTAAAAGAAACTTTGGTTTTTATTAAACCATGGATAGATAGCTTATTTCTGTTGCAACTGTTGTAAAAAAAAATCTATGAAACTCAGTGTTATTTTTTTTCTTTGTACAAAAATAGTGTAATTCTTCTGTAATAGGGAATTCGCAAGTATCTTGCTTGGCTTTTACCACTGAAGTTTAACATTAATCTAGTACTTAAGCAAACCACATGGGTGGGGACATGAGTGGGCAGGGTGAGTGGGAAGAGATTTGATTTGGGGGCATGAAGAAAGTCCTTTCTTAAACAAGCACTGAAAATTCAACAAGCTCAAGCATTACCTTGTTAAACACATTTATTGAGTTCTGCCAGTAAGCAAACACAGTAAATGATCATTGAAGTATTCTTTTAAAAATAATTGACCCAGAGAAATCTACTTTTGATTGGATTCTTTTCTGGCTTAAAAAAACAACAACAGGAAAAAATAGACCTTATATAAGACTGAGGTGATAAGCTTTAATAATACACTCAGACAAGGATATTGTAGGATCCAAAGTCCTTCTTTAAAGGAACCATTTTTTGCAGTAGTTGAAATAGCATGTTGCTGGATTGGTTAGTCATATGCAGGACTATTTAATCTTCTGTTCTACTTGAGATAAAGTTGAGTATATATCACAAGCACCTATTGGACAGTGCCTGTGATGTCTCCCTTCACAATATCAATATCAATATGTTGTGACCTGCTCGCTGCTCATCCTACAAAGAGAGGGCTTCATCTTAGAGCTGTGATGACAGAATTTTTAAAAAGTGTGACATCAATTTCTTCATCAAGTGTCCTTCTCCCCTATCAGAGATTCTGACTCTTGCTTTAACCACTGGATTTTGATTCTTTTTAGGGGGCAGTTAAGATATATGAGTAGAGAATTCTGTCGAATCATTTTTGCAGTGTGGACTGCTATTGTTGTTAATTCTCCAGACCAGACTTGATTAAGTCATAGTAATGCAAATTAGTTGACATGGGTGTTATGGACAATTCATGAACAAGAGCAGTGTGAAAATGTGTACCTGAAATTTTCCACCCTCTACCTGTGAAATGAGAAGTGAGGGCATTCCACCACATTTTTCTGGAAGGGCTGAAAGCTATCAAAATTTTCTTACATATTTTGCCAGGACACTTTGAGGGAAAACAAATGAGGCTCTTAAGAGAAAGTTCTCCAACATAGTCTTAATTTATGGTGAGTGCTGGGTAGAACAAAGGAAAAAAATACCTGAATTTCATAGATGAAATATTTTCTGAGCCATTTCAGCTCAGCTTTATATTGCATAGATGAAATCAATTTAGAATAATCTTATATGTGCCCGACATCTGGATTATTTAATTATATGATGGAATTAAATTTGCATGACTTTATTTAAAGGTATTTTGAATATATTTTTGTCCACAAATGGGGCTACCAAGAAATACAGTAAGTTTAGGTGGGTTTTAAAAAATATAATTAGAATTCTAGAACTTTTTCATTTAGGGGAGAAAAAAAAGCAAAGCAAAGCAAGGATAATAAATTAATTTGTTAAACACATTTATTGAATTGTTAACAGTAACCAAACACAATGTATGACCTTTGTAAAACAAGAAACAGAAAAAATGGGTTTATTTCCAGTCTTGGCAGTTCCTACTACAGATATGTGATGAGGGGAAAATATTTCAATTTCCTTTATATTCTTCAGTGATCTATTTACAATACCTATCTCAGTTTCTGTCCATTATTAAATAAACAGAAGGATCATGATCCAGAAGTAAGTTCCCTTACAATCTTCTAGTTCTGCTTTGCCAGTAACCAGTAATGAGAGTGATATAATGAGAGCTTCCCAAGGATTACTTGGCACACAGGACACAAATCCACTTGGATGCGGTAGTGAACCACCATTTCTTTGTAATGGGGCAAGGGAATGATGGAAGCGGGAAGAAGGGAGAATGGAGAGAGAGAGGAGGAATTTCATATGTACAAAGTCTGAAAAGTCTTTTCTTTGTGATCTTTAGTAATTTCAGGAAAACTGTATCAAAATTGTATAATCATGTTAACGGTAGATACTGTCTTTTTGTTTGTTATGACCGACTGTATGAATAAATTTCAATTAGCTCAAGTCCCAACTTGGCATCCTTCAGCTGTTGTTGTTGGAGCACAGCTGCATGGGGGCCATCTATGAAGTACAAAGACTGAAGACTGAATGAGGCTGGGGCATTCTGGATCACGTCAATTCACAGTAGTAGCATTCCACTGAGGTTATGAGTTCTTCCTGCTTGTCCGTTCATCACTTGAGGAGCCATTCATTTACTGAAAGTGAGGGGGAAGAACAACAACATACAGGTTTCCCAATGACAGTCTGCTTTGAAAAACAAACAGTGAGACCTCTGCAAACATCTTGTTTTTCTAAGAACGTTCCTATATAAACAGATTTCCTAGTGATGGTGTTCCGATACACGGTGGGTCTCTCTGTGTTACTCATTGTGACAAAACAGAAATAGCAGTTCTGTAATGAGGTACTTCTTTTGTGCTTCCTATTTGCTAGCTACTACAGTTTGTCACAGAAACATATGGAAACTCTCTTACTGATCAGGCTATTGCCTCTTGATACCAACAAAACCACCTGACATTAGAGAGGTAAAGAAAGGCTGCCTGTAAAAGCAAGAGTAATTCAGGCTCACTCAATATAGCAACATAACTTCCTCTGCCATCTATCTGCTGCTGCTATCATTTGTTCCTGAACCATAAAACCAGTCATTGCAATATCTGTTATATATAACAAGGACCTGCCATTTGATTCTTGTCTGCAGAATCCGAGGGCTTTGAGATGAAATTTGTGTGGCTACCATACAGTACATGTGCAGACGATCCTTCAGAAGTGGTAATTTCCCTGGTGTAGACATTCAATTTTTCAAGCACATTTGTTTCAACTCCATGTCTTTGTTCAGATTTTCTCAGTCCACCCCAAGGATCAGATTCTTCCCCTCAATATGAATTATTTGGCTGAATGTTTAGAAGCCTGTCAAGAATGTTTTGGGGAAGCACCATAATTCAGTGGGCAAGCTGCTTTGGACAACTAGAGCTGAAAAATAGTTCATTAAAATGTATATAGCACACCTACTTCCCCTGAAATTTTCAACAGCAATTTAAAAATATTAGAATTGCTAAATCCAAGGAAGGAGAAGAGCACTTGCTGAATTCATCAGCTGTCTTGACACAATAGGATACATAAAGGAAGAATATTCAAACCCCATGAGATTCCTTGTTTGTAGCATGGATACAAGACAATGGCTGAAATCCAATAGCATAAATGGCCATTTAGGGGCAGCTAAAAACTTATCAATGCCCATCCCCCAGGTTCCAGGGATCCCTAGAAATCCCCTTAATCCTAGGGAAAACTCTGTCCTGAATGGGCCACAGCCTGGCTGTGGTTGATGACACCATCCAAGTTGGGTGGTCTAGCTCCACCAACAGGATTTCAGGCAGCAAGTGCTTTTTGTCTCTGCGAAGGTTTCTAGTGTATGTAAACCAGTGTACTTTTCTTTTCAGATGTAACGTGCACCATGTGTGTGCATGTTCACACATGCACACATGCGCGCGAGCATGCGTGCGTGCAGGCGCGCGCACACACACACAGAGGAACTAAGTGGTACAAAGAACCCATCTGATATTTCAGATTTTTACAGGTCTCTGAAATAAAGAAGCAGCTTTCACAATTTTGTGTATTTTGCAGAAGTTAATCAGTGGATGTGGTCGCACTATAAAATATCTCACCCTCTTGCATGGCAAGGAGGAAAAATATTGCAAGTCTTCATTTCTGCCTGCACAAGCAAGATAAGCAAGGTTTTACATCCCTCCTAAATGCCGGTAATGTTCTTCTGAGTAACGTACAATAGTTGTCATCGCTTTAATTAATTACTGCCTACATTCGTAATTCTAAATAACATTTTTAATTTAATGATTTAATTGAGAAATCAATTTTTACAGAATCCCTGTAATGGTCAGTGGTAACAAATTAATGCTGTTTAGCTACCCCAGGATAACACATTAGTGCTAACACTGCTTCCAAATCCCCATTTTAATGGTTAGGCAGCAGTTAATGGGAAGCACTCTGTTCTGCCTCTGGTTCCGGAGGAGTACTGCCACTTAGACTTACAAGTCCTTGGCTGGATGGATGAAGCTTGCCATCTATATTGCTGGCAGGCTGCAAACCATATCAAGTTGACAATCCCATTCTTTTACTAAGAAAACAACATTTGGCACCTACCTCTATACTGTAGTTTCTGTGCTCTGTTGTTTGGGCAATCTTTCCCCTGTAAACTAAAGTTGATGTTTGTTCGGATACACCGGTTGTTGAGAGGCTGGACTGGTCTAAAGTTGTCACTCATACTCAGAAAAATTTGTGAAGGCTGATTCTGGCTGAGCAACCGTAAGGAATGCATCTGCACAAACACAAAGAGATCCGCATGACACGGCAAGACCTACATATCTAGGAATGAAAACAGGATTAAATGGAAATATGCTACGGACAATTTATGAACATTTATAAGCTGTTATTCTCTGAGCTGTGCTGACTCCACTTTTTTAAAATAATTACACTGGAGCAGTTGTGCAGCATTTAAGGCTGAACTTTGAAGTCTTAATATGCTCTAAAAATTATAGGCTTTGAATGGCCTTAATTTAGTCTGTTTCGAGGCATTAGGGCCAAAAGAGGCAAAGGAAGTGGTCTGATCAGTGAGAGTCGTGTAGGTCAACTTGATCCTGCAAAACCAGCACCTGAGGAAGTTACTTCCATAGAAACACGGAATGATGGAGTTGGAAGGGGGCCTATAAGGTTATCGAGTCCAACCCCCTGCTAAAGGCAAGAATCCAAATCAAAGCAGATCTGACAGAAGGTTGTCCAATTTTCCCTTGAAGGCCTCCAGCTTTGGAGCCCTCACCACCTTCTGAGGTAATTGGCTCCATTGTTGTACTGCTCTAACGGTTAAGAATTTTTTCTGATATTTAGTTAAAATCTGGCTTCCTGTCACTTGAGCCCATAATTACATGTTCTGTATTCTGGAATGATTGAGAAAAGATCCTGCCCCTCCTCTGTGTGGCAGTCTTTCAAGTATTTGAAAACTATTACAATATATCTCCTCAGTCTTCTTTTCTCAAGACTAAACATGCACAGTTCTTTAAGTCTTTTCTCTTAGGGCTTGGTTTCCAGTCCTCTGAAAACATCCTTGTTGCCCTCCACTGAACGTGTTCCCGTTTGTTGGCATCCTTCTTAAGGTGTGGTGTCCGACACAGTTCTCCAGATGAGGCCTAACCACTGCTGAATAGAGGGGGACAAGTACCTCAGAGGATTTGGAAACTATCCTTCTGTTAATGGCACCTGAAACACCATTTGTCTTTTTTGCAGCCACATTGTACTGTTGGCTCATATTCAGCTTGTGATTTACAACAATTCCAAGATCCTTCTCATTTGTTATACTCTTGTTGGTAAAGGTTCCTGAATCTGTAAGCCAGCATGTGAACTGGGGATTCTGGGTGCCATAAACCCAGAAGAACTTTTACAATTAGCAAGGGAGCAAATTAGCAAAGTAAAGATTTTGCCTGTCAAAAATACCGCATATTAGAAATGCAGTAGAAGTTCTTATAGCTTCATGGACACAGCAACTTTTAAAAAGTGATTGAGGCATGTATGATGAAGAAACTTGATCATGTAGTTGGGAACTGCTGGATAGTATCAGCATATATTAAGTACTTCATTAGCTGGCTTCATTTAATTCCACTCTTGGCTAACTGTAGCAAAGTAATGTCACAATAGCATTTAATAGGGAAGCAATAAAGAACAGAAGTTGAAATACACCTGGTTCAGTCAAGTGTACTTCAGTAGAAAAGACCTGACCTTGGAGAAGTTACTGTTTTGGATTACACTCCAAGGTTCACCCACTCAGCATGGCCACAGGAATATTAGGAATTTAATGTGGAGTTCTCGGATTTGTAGTCCAAATAATCACAACACGCTTTTCTTCCTATTACTTGGATTTCTTAAAAATTGTCCTACTAAGACTCCATCAGTTGGGAAACATTTCTCTACACAGTTATAAAAGTGAGGAGGGGTGAAGGATGGTCATCACTATGGCAAATCCTCAGCAATCAGTGCAAAAGGTTTTGCTCCATTCCCAGATGTTGTTTTGCTCCATTCCCAGATGCTTCCCAAATGGGGTAGAGAATGGTGTGTATGCATGTTTTACCTGCTCTGAAGTTGGTCCTGACTTACGCTAGCCTAGCTAGGATTTCCAAAGTATGTGGAATATTTAAAGAATGCTTTAGACCGCTCCTTGTGAACATAGGAAAAAGTATTTCGCTCGTGCACACAAATGTGGAAAAGAGGAAGGTGGAAGATGAAAGCTGCCCCTGCCCCTGTTTGTGAGCTGCCTGTGGCCATCCATTGATTCAACACATACTCAAAGAGTATTTAAAACTGCATTTCTGTCAGTCATACATGTATATCCAGACCAGGAAAGACATAAAAGCACTTTAAGTGGCATATTTGAAATCAAATCAAGCCTTGCTTGCCTGATAAGCCCTTCAGGCAGACATCACTGTGAGAAGGTGGCAGTAGGAAGTGACAGTGTCTTCCTATCACATTTCTTTTTAAAGACATGGGCCTGCCTTCTATGATCAGCCCCAGGTATATCACAAGCTAGCTAATATGCAGCTCTGTAGTTTTTTGGTGGAGCCAGTTCAGATTACTCACAGTAATTTTTTAAAAATAAAATAGATGTGAAGCTTCATTATTTTCAACAGTGTCTGGGTTAAATAGATAGTTCTCCGCCTAGGAAACCCAAAGAGATCTCAAGGGCACCTGTGTTGGTCTTGGTGAGGCCATCTCTGGCCATGACAACTCAGCTGGCTTCCCCTTGGTGAGTCTGAGGGGCCATGGGCAGGAGACAGCTCATGTCTGTTTCTTTCACAAGGGAGGCCAGCTGGTCAGATGGGCAGGCAGAGGGGGCTTGTGCTTGTGCTCTGATGCTAAGGCAGAGGAGGTGGAAAACCCTAGGAAAGTAAAGCCTAGCAAAGGTAAGGGTGAAAAGGGAACAGTTGAGAAAAATATGGTGGGAAAAGAATGAAGCAGGAGAAGCTTGGCAAGACTAGAAAAGAAACTGCTGAGAGGCTGGGCAGGCCTCCTGAGGGGCAGGAACTGAAGAGGGAAGGATGACTGAAACTCACATATTGGAAAATGGGCATCTTTGTTATGTATCGCTGCTTTATTCTGACTTGACATAGAGTCTGACAAACAAAGGACTGAAATCCATTCTTCTAACGGTTGTATATGATATCCAGTAATGTAGGAGGTTTTACCTGCATCCTTGTTATGTAGACGGGTTTGTTCATTAGGATCCAACTTGCTGTTTCATAGCAGGGCGGAATTGTCATCGACCCATCATATGTAATGAAGCTAGAGGTTTCGGGATAAAGTTCCTCGATATTAAGTCCCTGCAGTAAGTATGCATCATCTGCAGAATAAATTTGTGTAAAATGAGTAGCAGAACAAAATATTCGCGTTGGCAAGATGCGTTTGCTGCTGTCGTTTCCTATAATATAAAGCAGACTTCCACAATCTGGTGGGCTGCAAATGGGCTGGACTACAACCTCCATCATTCTCAGGTAGCATGGAATGGTGGGAGATGTCGTTCAGCACTTAAATGGCTACTGCCAGTTTGGGGAAGGCTGCTATAAAGTCCTATTTGTACAGTGGACCCTCGACTTACAGATGGCTCGACTTATAGACTTTTTGAGTTACAGACTTCTCTGGCTGCAAAATTTAGGTTTGACTTGCAGCCGGAGAATCGACTTACAGACCAGAAAAAAAAAAGTGGCACAAAAACGGAACAAAAATGGCTGATTACGGATTAATCGGTTTTCAATGCATTGTAGGTCAATGGAGACTTGACCTCCAGACTTTTTGACCTGCAGCCACCATTCCAATATAGATTAATTCCGTAAGTAGAGGGTCCACTGTATACAAAGGGACTCAGTGCAAGGAATGCTGAATTTGAAATCCAGCTCCTCAAAATTTACAACTTCACCTAAACAGGCTTGTAAACGTACCTGTGACTTAAAAGCTACCATCTTGACCCATTCAAAGAACAAAAGCCCACAAATGCAGTTTACGTGTTCTACTAATTAGATTTCTCTGGACACATATTTTAGGCAGGATATGTCATGTAGGTCAGGCCTCTCTATGTGTTTGTTCCTGTTCCATGAAATATGATATAGACCAGGGGCATGGTTGTGCCCTGGCTTGCGCATGGGCTCAATGCAACAGACCCAACAGGAACCAGTGTCTTAATGGAGTTTTTCAGCTGTCCATGCCTCAGTGAGGATAACTGTCTCCAGTCCTGCTTCCAGTAACCACTAGTAAATTTGGCTGGTGTTGTTTTGCTGTACCTCCAACAGGACAGTTCAACATGAATGGAGAGGATGAGTTTTCAGCCACAAGCGATTTGATGCCAGGACCAGATATTCCTGAGATACCATCTGTAGACCCTGGTGTAAGGCACAGAAACTCTCCTGCCTCAGAAATCTCACTGATAGGCTTCCTCTGGGAACTGGCCAAGCAATGCATGAAGGCCATTTTTTTAACCTTCTGCCAGTGCAGTGCTGCAGAACATTGGCACTCCATTAGGTAAACTCTTAAATGGCTACTGCCGGGCACTGATTGGCCATTCAGTTCCCACCACAGGATGTCTGTCAGTGCCATCAGGTACGGCCATGACACTGTGATTTGTTTACATGCATATGTGTGCTATGTAGTGACAGGTGGCAGCACTGAAGGAGCAACTTGCTGATCCTCACCTTGTGGGGACAGGCAGAATAAGCTTCAGTGATGTATGTTTATTTGTTTAATATCATTTTTTTTGCATGCATTTAAGGCTGGAAATCTAAAGCTGCTCACTGTTGGTGCCAAGTCCATCACCTAGCATTTTTAGTACTTTGTGCACACTGTCTCAGTACAACACCCTGTAAGATAAGGCAGCATTGTTGATCCCCATCATGCAGATGGGAGAGGCCTGAAGCAATGAGGTGGCTGTTTACTGAAATCAACCTATGAAATTCTTTAAATTAGTCACGTTTCTTGGCCAAGAAGGCAGGATGGATCAGGGGACCCATGGTCCTCTCAATCTTGTTGGTATTCAGCTGCCAAAAGCTCTAGCGCTGGCCAGGTTGGCAGGGGCTGATGGGACTTAAAGAGTCCAACTCCATTTGGAGGGATACTACATGTCCATGCCTATCTAAGGCCGGAATGTGCCCTTTGAGTATCTTCCACAGCATAAGCACGGAAAGGGCACAGCCCAGCCTTTGAGCCAGAAACTGAGTTTAAAAATATATTAACATTGTCATCATCATCATCTTAATCTTAGAACTGCGGAGCTGGAAGGGACCCTAGGGATCACCGAGTCCAGATCTTGTCAAGGAGGCACAGTGGGGAATCGAACTCCCAACCTTTGGCTCCGCATCCAGATGCCTAAACCGCTGAACTTTCCAGCATGCATTAAGTGGCTGTGGCATCATGCTTTGCAAATGCTCACTTTTGGGGGATGGAGGTGAGTAAGGAAGGATAAGAGAATAGGCCTGATTAACAATTATTATTTTTTGTTCAACACATCCTGGAAAGGCCAAGAGTGTTTAGATTTAATTACCCTTGCAGTGCAGAAAAAGATTGTTCTACTTGTTAAGGTTAATGTATGATAATAAAGTTGCTCAGTGAAGCCTAATGCCCTTTAGTGTGTGCGGTGGGAGCATGGAAAGCACAGGGAACTCACTTGGAAAGCTCAAACCAATGAAGAAATATGCTTTTAAGCAAATGAATGGGCTTCCCACTCTTCCCCTCCTCACTTCCTTTCTTCCTTCCTTGCTAATTAATGAGCCATCCCTTTGTAGAAGATTTCAGGGTGAACACGTTATGTGCTCAGCCTATAATTAGAAGAGATTGAGCCCTTAAAAGCCATCTGAATCGGTCAGCGCTTGTCATGCTGTCTGCAGTCATATGGCCGAAATGCTGAACAATTTGTTATGGCATTCTGCTTCACAACAACCTGGTTGGGTGTGTTCTTCTTATACAGATGAGCCAAAGCTAAGAGTGCTTTGTATAAATCCAATCTTCCCGTGATAGTTTAACATTACTTTGAAATTATTTTTGGCATGCCTTTAAGGAAATTTCTCCAAAGGTGGCATATGAGATTAAAAACCAAACCAAACCAGAACAAAACATTAACATTCATTAAAAGCAGGGACTACAGATAAAGCCAACAATCCCATAATTATGGAACATCTTGTGGGAACAGGTGAGTCTTTAGTGCTTTGCTGTAGATCTGCCAAGAAGAAGCCTGATGACCTTTCAAGGGAAGCTGGCTTCAGAAGTGCAGGGCAAGTAGGAAGGCTGTTTTCCCTCATTGCCCTTGACAACAACCAAAGAAGGGCCTTTGTGAATGTCCTCTGAATATGGGCAGGTTGGTACAGGTAAAGGTGGACCTTTAGACCTGAACTGTTTCAGGTTTTAAAAGGGGTACAATTGTGCAATTTCAAAAATGGAACAGCAACCACTGCAGTTGGCACAGTGTTGGTGTTCCACAAGCTAATAATCTAGCTCTCACCAATACCTAGGCAGCCATATTCTATACCAGCTAAGACCAGCCCTCCCCAAAAAAGGCTGTAGCTGCTATATTACCTTAAGCAGGTAAAAAGGACTCATGGTTCCCAAATAGAAGTGTAAAATTCAGGAGCTACCCCAAGCAATATACGTGGTCCTTCAGTGGATTGCAACCCTATCCATGAAAATATCCCTCTGTTGGACAGTTTTCCTACCCAGAGTACTTCTCTCTCATCTGGGTTAAGCTTCGCCTTGTTTGATCTCACATTGTTTCTCCAAATTGCCTCTGTTCAGGAGTTCATTAACCTATCTAATATCTAAGATGGAAGAGAAAAAACATGAGCTGGTCTCCTTGATCCCAGTACAGCCCTACAGCCTCTGGAACATTTGGGAGCACATCTGCCCCATCAGTAAAAAACCAGCCACAGCCACATTCCAGATTTTGCAACATATTTCCAGGTGTTCCTTTTCACTGACACCATCAGAATATCCTGCCTGTACAGAATGCAAAGGTCAGAAAAGGAGTGCTTTAGGTGTGCCCAAAGGTACCGTATTTTTCTGTTTATAAGACGACCCAATGTATTAGACAACCCTCCCTTTTCTAACCCCCAAATTAGAAAATTTGAAAATTTGCACGATCGCACCCCTTTGGTCCTGAAGCCCTTTCATAGCTGCTTTACCCTGTGGCTTTGCAAAAGGCAGGGAAAGCTGCTGCCTTCTGTGTATAAAATGACCCTAAACTTACTGTCTAATTACTTAAGTAAAAAGTGTCATTTTATACACAGAAAAATATGGTATTTTTCTCTTTCAATAGCAGAGCTTCAATTTCAAAGCAGTTTCCTGTGTGGCCAAAGCAAACATGGACACACAAAAGGAATAGTAAAGTCTTTGCATCCTGGTCACTGAGGGATGGAAGCTTTCTGTGCAGGGGTCTTGTATTTTTTTAAAAAAAACACTCCATTTAAAAGAGAAAGTACATAAGGTCCAAACAATTATCAAGAAAACTACATGAAGAACATTCACAAAATGGTGTGGAGCTTGAAGTGTATGGAGTCCAAAGTGGTATTTTTATCCTTAATTTGATCACTAACACTCATTCATTTATTCATTTTATTATGTCTTCCATTACTCCTAATACAGGAACTCAAAGCAACATACTTCATCTATACAAAATATCATCAATATAAAAATATCAAAATATCTTGTGCCAAAAGGACAGTCTTGAGAAGAAGTGTGGATAACATTAAGGGCAAAAACTTTTCATTTATTGTGTGAGAAATAGATTTTCTGAAAAGGCTGCATGGTCCACAAATCTGTTGCTAAGATTCTAGCTACCATATTTTTTCGCTCCATAAGATGCACCTCTCCATAAGATGCACCAAATTTTTAGGAGAAGAAAACAGGGAAAAATAATCTGTTTTCTTCTCCTAAAAATTTGGTGAGCCTTATGGAGAGGTCCATCTTATGGAACACACCCTAGCCCTCTCTGGCCCCATGGGGGGGGGTGAGGGGAGTCTCCAAAGGGTCCTAGGGTGTGTTCCAGGACCCTTTGGAGGCTCACCCTGCCCCCCATGGGGCCAGAGGGGGCAAAATCACCACCTTCAGGGACTCTTCTGAAGCTTCCCAAGCCTCAAAAGAGTCCCAGAAGGTGGCGATTTCACCCGCGCTGGCCCCATCAGGGGGGTGGGGGGAGTATCACAAGGGTCCTGGAAGGCTCACTGGACCCTTGCGACACTCCCCCCACCCCCCATGGGGCCAGTGCGGGCGAAATCACCAGCTTCCAGGACCTTTTGTGAGGCTTGAAAGGCTCAGAAAAGGTCCTGGAAGCTGGTGATTTCACCCCTGCTGGCCCTGTGGTGGTGG